AAATTCTTGCAAAAACTTAAAAAATTAAAAAAAAAATCAATTTTGAAACTCTAAAAAACATTTTTTTACTCTAAAATCCAAAAATATTGAAATTTTTGAAAAAAAATTTTTGTGCTGAATTGTGCTAGACTCCTACAAGACAACTCTTTTATTCCATTTTCAAAATTGTTGTTATTTTCCAAAAAAAAGCACAATTTTTAAAATCTGGTCAAAGCTTACGTTTACCTTTTTAATTTAAAAAATTCAGTATTTCTTATACTTTTTAAATAACTTCATTAACCTAATTAAATAACTTTTAAGAAAATTGATAACTTTTAGTAGATCTTAAGTAAGTTTTAATGATATTTTAATTTTATTTTTCAAAAAATTATATTTTAAGCTCAATTTTTTCTTAACGTTTTTTTTATACTTTCGTGACTGTCACGTATTTGAAAAAATATATAATTTTGCAAAATTTTCTAATTTTTTTTAAGTATTTTGTGTAAAATATTTTATTTCAAGTAATAAAAATTATGTTCTGTTATAAAATAAGTCGTCTTCTCAATATTCGAGTTTTTAAAATAAAATAACTATTTTACAGGCAAAAGAAAAAACAGGTGCTACAGCTCCGGTAATTTATGTTCCTCCACCTGGCGCAGCGTCAGCAATAATAATGGAAGCATTGGAAGCTGAAATGCCTCTAGTCGTATGTATCACTGAAGAAATTCCGCAACACGATATGGTTAAAGTTAAAAGGCGACTTCTCGAACAAAGTAAATCCCGTCTAATTGGTCCCAATTGTCCAGGAATCATTGCTCCCGAGCAGGTATATATTTTTTATTAATTAATTTACATAATTTTCAAAAGAGAATTCAAAACATTGATTTATTTATATCATCATTGATTAATAGGAATTTATATCATCGTAGCTTAATGTTAATTAATATCAACAATAATTAATAATTATTAAAAATTACATTAATCGATATTAATTATTGACCATATTAATTAACATTAATCGATAATAGTATAAATTACTATTAATTAATGACGATATTAATTAATATTAATTTATATCATTATCGATTAATGTTTATTAATATCGTCATTAATTAGTAATAATTATTTTAATAAAAATTAATAATAATCAGTGATTAATATTAATTATTATCATCATTTATAAATGTCAATTAATATCGTCATTAATAAATAGTAATATAGATTAATTACAATTAATGTTAAGTAATTCCGTAATTTATTAATAGCGATATTAATTAATGACAATGTTATTTAACATAAATTGATAACATTAATTAATTGTAATTTTAATTAATAGTAATTTACATCATATTCAATTAATTTTGTTAATAATAATTATCATCATTTATTATTAGTAATTTATATCATAATCTATTAATGTTTATTTCTATCGTTATTAATTATAATGAATTAATAGTAATTCATATCTATATTAATTAATGTTGAGTAATATTGATAAATAAGTGATTTTCACAAAGAGCCACAATTAAAAATAGTAATCTTTTTTTTAGGATTAACAGCTTTATCGAAAAATTCAAATTACATCTAAAAATGATTTAATTTTGGAAGAGATGGTTTTAAAATTTTTGACATTAGTTAAATTTGAAAAAATTTGTAATTGAAAATTTTTAAAAGTAATCGAAATTTTTTAGAGTTTTATTCAAATTGGTATTTAAAAAATTATGTTTCTTGAAAGTTTCAATTAAATTTTTGAAAATAATTAATTGAACATTTTTAAATGATTCGAATTTCTTAAATTTGTATTGATAATAATTGAATATTTTAAAGAACTAGCGCACTCACAGGCCGCAAGCGGCCGTCTCATTTGCTTTCTTTTTTATTTTAAATTTAGTTAAAATTACCACTTATTTTTAATTAAAATATAATTATATTTAAATAATTTTTACTTAATTCCTATCTAATTCTAATTTTATACTTTTTATTCATATTTTAATTTTTTTAAATTATTGACCTACTTATTATTAATTCTGTTTTTTATAAATTACTATTTATTAAATAAAATTCAAATTTGAACATTCATATTTTCTTTATAAAATAGAAATGACGTAACAAAACACTTTCATTTATTTATATTAAAAAAAATTTGTTTAAATCACATTCATTTTAATTTTTTTGGAAAAATTGGGTTTTTCAATTAACTTATATTAACTTTGTATTATAATAGTTTATCTCAAGTTTGGAATTAATCTATCAAATTTACTCAAATTATCATAGAGACAATTAAGAGAATATATAACAAGAAAATTTCCATAAAACAATGTTTAATTAAAATTTATTATTTAAATTATTTATTAGTAACTTTTAAATTAAAAATATCGTTTTTTGTTAGTAATAGTATACATATATAAATTAAGAAAATTAACAGGTGAATTATGGAAAATAAATACATCACGTTTTCTTAAAATAAAAATTAATTTATTTATATTAATGAAAGTGTTCACTTTTTAAAAGTGACATATTTTTATTATTTTTTAAAAAAAGTAAATTTTTTAACGAAATCTTGATCGCTTTTGTCAAGTGGTTTTTTTTCCCCATAATTCTTCGATATTTATTTTGTGCTGACTTCCACAATTTTTCCAATATGTGACCTGGTATAATAATTAAGGAAATTAATTATATTTGTTATCATTAGTGAAAAAATATTTAATTTTAATTCATTATTTATATAAAATTACTTTTTTACCTGATATATAAAAGTATTTTCAATCTTTTTCCATTATTCGGATAGCAATTTTCGTATACGCGTCGTAATGTTCCTGTTTCCCTTTCGCATTTTTTCCACTTCTTCTCTTCGGATCATATAGGAACGGAAAATCCTGCATTTCTTGAAGCATATGCTCCAATAGTTTAATGTCCATTTTTTACCCTTTACAATTAAATTAAAATGAAACGAAACTTTTAAATTGTCAATCTTCTTTTTGGTTATGAAAAAATTTTAAAAACAATTGAAAGTCACAAGATTTTTTTTTCCTTTTATTTTGAATAAAGTAAACATAAGATATTAAACTTTCTCAGTTTTCTCCGTAAGAAATTAATGATATTCCATTTCTTTACAATCCTTTTCAGAAATGAAAAAAGTTTAAAATTTTAATTTTTTTACATTTAAATATTCAAAATAAAAATTTTTATTCCTTCTGAAAGAAATTTATTTTCTATCAAAATGGTCAGCGAAAAAATATTATTAAAATATAAATGTCATAAAAATAAATTGTAAACATACATAAAATTATGAGGTATTATTTTCACACCAAAATGAATTAAAATAATCTGCAATGCTTTGATCCATCACAGAATTATTTTAATTATTTAGACACTTTTTATTTACAGAAAAGATTATCCCAAAAATGGATTATTTTAATCTTTTTTGGTGCAACATTAAAATACTTTATAATAAAAGTAAATAGAAATAATAATAATAATTATTATATTTTTTGAAATTTTTAGTTCAACTTTTTTTCTTCTAATATTATTGCCTTCATTTTTTATAATTATAAATCTTCTACAGGCCTCAGATAATATAAACTTATTTACTTTCTTCAAAAAAATCAACTTTTATTGACTTTTTATAATAAAATGCGACTATTTCGGCTTTTGTAGTAGAAAATTTGACTTATTTTGAATGTTTGCAAAATTCAATTACTTTAAATTTTTTTAATTTTATTTTTTTTCCAAGTTATTCACTTCTAATAATTCTAATAAATTACTTGGAAAATTCAATTGTTCAAAAAAAAAGTTGCAATTAAAACTTGTATAAAATTCAATTAATAAATATAATAAATTGCGTTCTATTTTTAGATGTTTTCCAAATTCAATTGAATTCACAATTTTTTACTAAAATACTTTAACAAATTAATCACTTTTAATTATTTTAATAAATAAATTATTTTGAAAATTGAATTATTCGTGAATAAAAGCCTCTAAAATTTAATTATTGGTAAAGATTTTTAAAAAAATCTGTAGTAATTAAAAATTTTTTTTTCAACATTATTTATGTTCTTCTGAATTTCAATTACTTCTTAAATTACTCCTCATTTATTTTTAAATTATTCACTAATATTTTCTCCAAATTAATATTTTTAACAATTACTTTCAAAATGCAATCCTTACAAAACAAATTTCACTTAAAAATTATAAGAAATTCAATTATTAATTTAATAAAGAACGAGTCATTTAGAAAGTTTTCGAAATTCAGAAATGTTGAAACTTTTTACTTAACTATTTCATGATAATAATTATTTCATTAATTTTTATAAATTTTAACTCATTAAAATTAGTTGAAATTATTAACTTCATAAAAAAATCTTTTTAAGTTTGACATTTATTGAATTTTGAATTCAAATTATCTTAAATTAATTGAATAGTAGAAGTAAAAAGTAAATTAATAATTGAATTTAAGAGAATTTCCAATTGAAATTATTTTAGTAATTCAATTTTTGAAGTTTTATATGAATAATTGAATTTTAGAAAGTTTTAAATTGAAATGTTTTAGAAATAATTTAATTTTCAAAATATACTTCGAATTTTTAGTAAAATTTGTAAATAAAAATTCTGAAATGCAATTATTAATTCAATAAATGATAGTTATTTTTGGATGTTTTCAATTTTCAATTAAATTACTTTGAAAATTTAATTATTTAAAATTAGTAAATTATGTAAAAAAAAATTATTTACTACCTAAGTAGTAATTTAATAGTAATTTATTTATTAAGATTTGAAAAAACAATTAAAATTTTTTTTCTGAAATGCAATGTGAGTAAAACAAGTTTTTTCTTATCTTACAAACGATCCTAAGGCCTGCTCTTGTCATTTTTTTTTATTAGTGTTGGAGAAAAAAATTTAAATTCTGTCTGGTTATCAGAGAAAAGTCCAGGGAATAAAATCAAAATTTTTGTGGCAATATTAGTAGAGGAGGAAGGTTTGAAAAGTTTGAAAAAAGTCGATTTTTTTGAAATTAATTTATTAATTAATTAAAATTTATTTTCTTTTTCAAAAATACACATAATTTATATTTGGTTATAAGCTTTGAAATTCGTTATTAAATAAAACAATAAGTCAATTATTTATCAGCGATTAGAATTATTTCATCTTGATCAACAAATCCGCTAAAATTTTATCTTACAAGAAAACAAAAATAACGTATTCTTTTATAAATAAAAAGTACGTTTATACGTTTACCAAAAATAATATTGCTTTTCTTTTTTTATAAATTATTCGTCGATGGAAACAAAATGTACATGTAAATCGTATTTTAATTTTTAATTCAAGCAAGAACATTAGAAATTAATTAAATCTATTTTCTATCGAATCTAAAGAAACACAGGATCGGTATCAATAAATTTTTAAGATATTGAGCGGCGTGAAATTTATGAATACCGTAGCCATTTATGTATGTGTGTGAAAATTATTCAATAAATTTTTCACGGGTGTCGATAATACAGAATTATTTACAATTTTAAATATTAGTTAACAAATAATTAATTCACCCTGAATTCGTCAATGATTTCTAAGTAGGCGTGGATAAAACAGACTTAAAAAAAACAATTATTTTTTCGATGTCTAAATCGACAAGGGCAAATATGAAGTAAAGTTTTCTTTTTTTTAATATTGAACGTAAACTCAGAAGAAAAAAAGAGAAGTTCATTAAAGTCTGAATCAGAAAAAGCCAAGACAACGAATAATGATTAAAAAAAATGCATTCAATATTACTGCGAGAGTCCAGCTGCAGTTGAAGGATTAAGGTATATTCTGAAGATTAATACCGGTCGATCAATAGTTTGTGAAATGTGTCATGAATAGTGCGATGAGTTGTCTATTTTTCTGCGACCGATTTATCAGTCGTGAGCATCTCCGTCTCTTATATAAATAGTTCTCGTTAGTGAAAGAGTCCAAAAATGGATCAGCTAACTTTTACTGACAGCAGAGTCTTGCTGAAAGTGAGATAAATTAAAAAGAGAACGGTATTCGTACCGTGGAATGTTATTGCTGTTATCCGTTACGACATGCGAGACGAAAAAAAAATACTCTCAATTTTACCTTGTTATTTTAAAAATTGACGAAAAGGATAAATCTTCAAAATTGTGGCACAAAACTTGAAAAATTGATTGTATGAGAGGGCCCACGCTACTGTTTTCCAATCATCGAGCGCATATTATCGATGGGATTAGATTTTTCACTGCCTTTCATCGACAACCTATTAGATTTCATTTTCTTCTCTTCGACGTTTAATTTAGTTTCTCATCGGGAAATCTCATCGGGAAAGTAAATCGGAAGATCGCTTAATACTTTAGTAAATCCTGTAAAAAAATGCAGTTAGTTGAAAGAAAATTTTTTTAATCGTATCCAAATTATATAATATTTAAATTTAATTTAAAAATTTTTAATTGTTATTTTTGTTTAAATTAAAATTTTAAAAACAATAATTGAGAATTATAATTTACCTTTTTTTTAGCGCTTCATTAAAATCATCTAGATTTTTTTCTGAAAGATATTTCAAAACTTCTAAACCAGAATAATAACAAAGGGCAGTATTCTCTTCTAAATTAACAACAGCCTTCCTTATTTTTGACGCTAATCGTAAAATGCCTTTGTAAAATGAGTAAGTACTAGAGATCCAAACAGTTCAAAGTGTGTCAGTTTTGAATCCACAGAATCTTCCAATTCTTTTTTCTGAAAAATTATGGCCACTTTTTCAAAGCTTAGTTTTAAGAGCGACAAAATGGTGTATTTATTATCTTCAGTAAGTCTTTTTTCCCCGTAGATTTCCAATCTCTGCATAAGGACATGAAAAATTTCAAATTTTTCACTTAAGTTTGTTATTCTTTCCCACAATCTATGCTCAAAAATCATATCCTTATTTGTAAAACAAACATAGGCAAGGTAAGAAAAATCTTCAATACTGGGCTGATCTGGTTCGATACTTATAAGATATTCTATGATGTCAAAATAATTTTTTAAATTGTTCGAAGAATCATTTTTCAATTTAATAATTTGTTTACATTCAATGGTAATTATTTTATTGTTCGTCATTTGTGAGTATCCGGTTTTGAAAATCCCGGCTTCTACTGCAATTTCAATTTCTTCCTTACTTCTATTACAAAGTATCATTGTTTGTAACAGTGTAAAACCATTTACACAAGTTCCCGTATCAGAGCAACATGTATTCAGTAATGTTGCGATTTGAGTAATAGGAAAATAGAATTTTATAGAATAATAAATTGCCAAACTAACAACATCATATTGATCCTTAATCGCACCAACGTACTCCATTATGTAGTCGTCTATTAATTCACTATCATTGAAAGTTGCTAACTGCAACAACTTTCTAACATGAACATCATTGACGTCCTCTGGGCAAATAAGGTGATTCATCTTTGTTATCCTAAAAAGAACGAATAAGATTAGATTCTACCTATATTGTTATATTTTTGTTCTACGTGAAGTGAGAGCGCTCTCACTAAATGGAGTTTTGATGCAAATTTTAATTTTTCTATTGTTAAATCAGTTTTATAATATTAGAAAAGATTAATAATAAAACAAAATTAAAATTAATAATAAAAAAACAAAATAATAATAAATTTCCTTTAAAAAAAATAAAAACAAAAAAAAATTCAAACAATAATTATACTTTCCATTACTAAGTTTCAATTATTAGTTAATTAATAGTATTAGCAATTAATTAGAATTAATTAGTAATTAGAAACAATAACTATCAATTCTTTTTTTCCAAATCATCAATTTTTGATTTTCATCTCTAATTTAGAATTTCTTTGCAATAAAAGATATTAAAAGTCCTTACGTGTAATTCTTGAAATCCATCGTGAAGTATTTTATTTCACTGTCATTTTTTGTATCCCATTCCGATTTTGGATTCGATGTTCCTTGCAATAAACATTTCTCCTGATGACTTTTCAGATATGGATTAATTACATCACTCATCGTTCGAACCAAGGTTCAAATACGAACTAGAAAAAAATTATCATAATTAAAAAAAATTGTAAATTATAATTCTAAATAAATTTTATAATAAAGTTTTAAAAAGTTATTGCAATAATTATAAATATTAATTTATTATATTAGAATTGTTATTACTTATTAACAGATACCTCTCTATTTAAAAGAGTTTTAACCATATTACATTATGTTAAATAAATTAAATTAAATTAATTTATTATTATAATTAATACCTTTAATAAATAAACAAATATTTTTAGTATATTTTTTAACATAAAAAAAATTATTTTACTTTAAAAAATTCTAATTTTTTATATATAAAAAAAAATTAAATTCATTAATCTACAAATACTTTTTCAATGAAAATCAAGATTTTATGTAACGAAATTTTAAAATAGGGTTTCTTTAGACAACAAAATAGTGTTAATCTTTTCATAAAATAATAAAAGTAAAAATATTTTCGGATAATGAAAACATGCCCTTAAGAGATAAAAGCGGAATAATTTAATTCAGTGCATTAAAATGGAAAAGCATTGTAAGTGAAGCAGATAAAATTGCGAGTTTCTTAAAAACCAGTTAAATAAAAAAATGATTAGTTACGAATTATAATAAAAAATTTCATAAAATAGAAATATTTACCACATCATTCTCACTGAAGGGACTGGCCTTGAAATTCTTCAGATATACACTTAAAACTTCTCTGAGGTAGAATCCAAAAGTCCTTAACGAAATGAATCGTCGATTGTCGTTCTGGAAATTATAAAAACAACATAAACCTAAAGTCTCGAGAAAATAATAAAAATCACTTAATCACTTACATCGCAACCAGTAAAACTTTCTTATTTTACCTTTAAAAATTAATTTATAAAATAAAAAGTAATTTCTTCGACTTAACAATTTTAGTTTTGTTTTAAAAAAATTATAAATAAACTAAGAAATAATATTAAAAAGGAGAAAATGTTTAAAATATTTTTCTATATATTACCCTTATTTCTAATTTGTGAATCCTTCCGGTGACAGCATTCAAAGTCAAAAGTATACATAAGCAACCAAAATATATATTCTTCTTGGACATTTTGGCAAAATTCTTTTTTTTTAATTTCACATTAATCACATTAAGAATTAATAAATATACAGAAAACACAAAAATTGTCTAGTCTTACGCGTCGCACTCGTCACTCTCGGAACGTGAAATAAAAACTGAACTAATAATCAAGAACTATAAAGTGACTAATAAAACTTTACTCGTTTTTCCTACGAAATTCAACACTTTTACGTGACATTAATTTATTTTCAAAAAGAATAACTGATTTTGTGCAGAAATACTAAAATAAAACACTGACTTTTTTCCAACCCTTCTTGACAATGAATAGCAAAGGCAAGTTTCTGAAACTTATTCGTTTGAAACTTTCAATTGAAAGTTTCAATGAAAGTTTCAAAAATTAAAGAAACTTTTGATTTTTTATTAGTTTTACTTATATTTTTATTTAATAAGTAATTATTTAAGTAAATTAAATGTTGCTTCATTTAATGAATAGAAATTCGCTATAATACATCAATTTTTTGTTATTATTGTAAAAAATAACAAATTGAGGCATCCATTCAAATAAGGGTGCGTTCACAGCACTTTGTGAAAATATATCCACATCTTTCTCTGTTACATGATAAAGGCATAAGTCTGTCCTACTCTTAATTTTCATTTGGTATTTTCCAAAGAAAATGTAAGAGCAGGACAGACTCATACCTATATCATGTAACAGAGAAAGATGTGGTTATATTTTCACAAAGAGCTGTGAACGCACAATATGTTTTGACATAATCAGCAATATCTGAATCAATCAAAAAATAGGGTTAATGGAACTGACCAATTACAATGAGCATTCACTTGTGCACCACTATTCACTGTTTCTGATTTCCAAACACACACCTTGACAATGGATTATCATAGGTTCATTGTCAAGAAGGGTTTGCAATAATACTCAATTATGGCCATTATGGGTTAGTCCATTGTCAGGAATGGTTGGAAAAAGTCAGCGCTTTATTTTAGTATTTCTGCACAAAATCAGTTATTCTTTTTGAAAATAAATTAATGTCGCGTAAAAATGTTGAATTTCGTAGGAAAAACGAGTAAAGTTTTATTAGTCACTTTATAGTTCTTGAATATTAGTTCAGTTTTTATTTCACGTTCCGAGGGTGACAAGTGCGATGCGTAAGACTAGACAATTTTCGTCTTTTCTTTATATAAATTAATTCATAATGTAATGTGATTAATGTGAAATTAAAAAAAAGAATTTTGCCAAAATGCCCAGAAAGATTATATTTTTTGGTTGATTATGTATCCTTTTGACTTTGATTGCTGTCGCCGCAAGGATTCACAAATTAGAAATAAAGGTAATATATAGAAAAATATTTTAAACATTTTCTCCTTTTAATATTATTTCTTAGTTTATTTATAATTTTTTTAAAACAAAACTAAAATTGTTAAGTCGAAGAAATTACTTTTTATTTTATAAATTAATTTTTAAAGGTAAAATAAGAAAGTTTTACTGGTTGCGATGTAAGTGATTAAGTGATTTTTATTACTTTCTTGAGACTGAAGGTTAATGTTGTTTTTATAATTTAACGAATTTTCCGCTCTGCGTCTTTTTCCCACAAGGATTGAAAATTTTTAGCATACAATATTTCCTCGATTTTTAGTAGCATACTAGGTTTCACTTGATTTTTAATGCTCTTTTATTTCGAATAGCGGTGGCAAAAATTGGTAGAGGCGTCAAAAATTAAATGAAAATTGACCTGTAACATTTTCTTTTCATATGTGTAAGTTAACGATTTTTCTGCTCTGCGTTTTATTCCGACGCGGCTTGCTAATTTTTGGCACGTTATTTTCACACAGTTTTTAGTGCTTTTATGAATAGCAGTCGCCAAAAATGATAGGCTTTAAAAAAATATATAAATCAACGGTGAAGTATTCATATTCGCTATTTTAAACGATTTTTCCGCTCTGCGTTTTTTACCGACCCGGATTAAATAGTTTTGGCACACATTTTTACTAGATTTTTAAAGCCTTTTCAAATAGAGATGACCAAAATTAATTGAGCCTCAAAAGAATATATGAAAATTGACCGTTAACGATATTTCCATATATACAATTGAACGATTTTGCGGCTCTACGTTTTTTCCGACGCTGAATGATAACTTTTGTCCGATTATTTTTACTTAACACCATGTGACTGTTAGGTCATGTGATCGCCGCAATGTTAATTTGTCGGACACTTTATTTGTCTCTCCTAACCTCACTTTTTCTGACAATTTCCACTTAAATGAGCGATTTGCACGTGAGTCAAAATTTGTGAAGAGTGCCAACATTTTTTGAAGGTTAAATTTTTGTTATGGAATATACGTTTTCCAGTTCAGAATAATGAATAAAAAATACATCTTCAACAGTTTTGCAAAATATGCAAATTTCTGCAAGTTATTGTTATAAACATTTTTGGGCATAAATTTACAAAAAAATGTTTTTCTACTGATCTATATAATAAAACATTCTGATTTTCGGTATAATTATTTGAAAGTAATACTGTTTTCGATTAATATTGCTAATTTTAAAAAATTAATTAATCTGTTTAGAATATAAACAAATCAATGAAACAAATGAAAATAATATTAACATCTCCCTCGATTTTTTAATTTTTTTTAGTTGCATATTAATTGTTAATTAACCTAAAATCATTTGCAAAAGAAAAAACTTGGTAACTTACATTTGGTTAAAAGTTAATAAAGTTTTTATCCCAGTTTGCATCAAATATTTCGTGCAATCGTGGCGCGGAAACTGATTGAAATATTAAAACAAACGAAGATCACATTATTTTTGTTTGTTTAAACATTTCATTAGGTTCTGCGCCCATCGATATCGCGAAATATTCGCTGCAAACTTGGATAAAAACCTTATTAACTTTTAACCAAATGTAAGTTACCAAGTTTTTTCTTTTGAAAATGATTTTAGATTTATTAACAATTAATAAGCAACAAAAGAAAATTAAACAATCGAGGGAGAAGTCAATATTATTTTCGCTTGTTTAATTAATTTGTTTATATTTTGAACAAATAAATTAATTTTTTAAAATCAGTAATATAAATCGAAAACAACATTACTTTTAAATAATTTTACCAAAAATCAAAATGTTTTATTATAGGTATACATCAGTAGAAAAACATTTTTCTGTAAATTTATGCACAAAAATGTTTATAACAATAACTTGCATAAATTTGCATATTTCGCAAAACTGTTGAAGATATACTTTTTATTTATTGTTCTGAACTGGAAAACGTGTATTTCATTAAAAAATTTAAACCATCAAAAAATGATGGCACACATCACAAATTTTGATTCACGTAAATGTTGAATTTGACGGCCCTGCTAAAATTATATTTAAAATAAAAAAATGTTGACAATGTTATAGATAATTCTTAAAGATATATATTTAAGATATCTTAAAGATATAGGCTCGCGTCCCGCGTTCTAATGTTTTTTCTCGTTTTTTTAGTACCCAACGAAAGTAGAATATATATTAGCAACAGCTAATTTTAGTTAAGAGAAAAGTTATTAATTTTTTTCCAAATTTTGTTGGAGATAATCTCACAAGTTCCAGGGCTCGCGTCCCGCGTTCTAACATTTTTTTCTCGCTTTCTTAGTACCCAACGAAAGAAGAAAAAAAACTGGCAACAGATAATTTTAGTCAAGGAAAAAGTTAATAATTTTTTTCCAAATTTTTTGGAGATAATCTCACAAGTTCCAGGGCTGACGTCCCGCGTTTTAATATTTTTTTCTTGCTTTCATAGTACCCAACAAAAGTAGAAAAATTATTGGCAACATCTGATTTTCGTCAAGGAAAAAGTTTTTAATTTTTTTCCGAATTTTTTAGGGAAAAAAAAATCTCGTTACTTTTTCTACTTTTGTTGGGTACTAAAATAGCAAGAAATAAATATTAGACAGAGGGACGCGAGCGCTGGGAATCGTGTTATTTTTTTTCTCCAAAAAATTCGGAATATAATTAAAAACTGACAGAAATTAATTTTTATTTAATTCAAAATTCAAATTTTCAAATTTAATTTAAATTTTTAATTCAATTTAAATCATATATTATAAATATAAAAATTTTTATTTTTCACTTCAATTAAAAATTTTTTTATATTTTTATATTAAAAAATATTTCAAATAGTAAAATAAAAAAATTGTATTTCTATTTATTTATTATATATTTCTATTTAAATTTATTATTTAATTAATTTTTAATAATAATTTTTTATTTTTAAAAATGTTGGTGGGAGTATTAATCGGAATTTATGAAATTAATATTATAATAATTAAATATTAATAATTAATTATTAATAATTAGTTATTTTTTAATTATTAATAAATTAGACATTCATTCTGCAAAAGCAAATCAAATAATATTTATATAACATATATATTATTTACGTAAGTAACGTTAATCTGCTTGACACTTTTTCAGTTTTTTTTTATTGCCAACCTAAACTTTTATAATGTCAGAGGATTATGGGAAGCATGATACAACACAATATTAATATTTGAACACGAATTATCTCTTTATTAAAAATTAGTAAAAAACAGTATATAAATATGACATGGCACAAAGGCAACTCAAAGAGAACTGAGACAAAGGGGTACGCCCAAGACGCCACCTGTACTTCGAGTTATGAATATCTACGATATATCGATAAAGCACTTAATCGATTATTATAAATTCAAATATTTCTTACACTCCCTCTATCGATGTGTGCTTTATAAACTAAACAATTAGAAAAATTATTTTTGTTTTAAATTTAACATTTCAACGAATCTGTTGTGTTTACATTTAGCCAGTGATTTTGTTAAAATATCCGCAATCATTAGATCTGTTCGCAAATAACTAAGCACAATTTCCTGTCGTTCTATTAATTCTCGTATAAAGTGAAAACTAATGTCAATGTGTTTGCTACGCTTGTGAAAAACAGCATTTTTGGACAGTTGAATAGCACTCTGATTATCACACATTACGTTAACAGGGGACTCAACATATTTATCAAAACCCATGTGTAATAAGAGACGCCGCATGTAAACAGTTTCACGTGCCACTTCCGAAAGTGCTACGTATTCGGCTTCCATTGTAGACAAAGTTACAGATGCTTGTTTTTTAGACTGCCAACTAATTGGACCACTCGCGAACATAATGACATTTCCCGAACATGATTTTCGATCATCTAAATCTCCAGCCCAATCGGAGTCCGAATATGCTCTAATCTTTTCGTTGTCTTTAACATAACTTATTCCATAGTCTGAAGTCTGCTTTAAATATCGTAACACGCGTTTGGCAATTTCCCAATGGCTTTTACC